TAGTAGCTACATTTTAACAAATTTTTGTAAAGCTAAAAGAACTAATCTCAAAAAAAAAAAAACACCTTCAGAAGAAAAAAATGAACTTACTGTAGGTGGGAGGCGGTGCATTAGGTCCACTTGATGGTAATTGTTGTGAAGCATTAGCTGGAGGAGGATTTGGCTTCGGCAAAGTTTTCATAATCTCCGTAAACCATGCCCTGAAAAAAAAACCGGCAAAAAAAAACGATGCAAGAATGAGATTGATAAATTAACAAATGTGATAAGATAAGCGGAATAAGATCAAAATTACTCAAGATCGGAATCGGATGAGAATAGGAACCAATGAACTTTGCTTGCTTGTGAATCCATTCCAATACCCACTAAATGATACAACGAATATCGTTGTGGTAATTCTGGTCGACGTACTACAAATTGCAATTAATCAAAGATTGAAATTTAAATTACTTCAAATGTTTGTATTTAAGGCATTACAAAATTTCAGATCAATTAAAATACTCAAAAATTTACATTTATCTCTATATTATAATCATCGAAATCAATTGTTATTCAACCATATATAAATTATCTATTCTTCTATCAATACCAATCCTTACCTTGCTAATTGGTAAAATTTAAAATAGAAATAAATAAGCTAACATTATTTAATAAGATTTATTTTAAAGAAAAGAAAACAAAAACCTGGCATACGGTCACACATTGGTCCAACACATGTATATGGTACAACATCCTTCAGGAAAACTGAACCTGCCGGTTTTGAATCACCCTGAAATAAAAATAGTTATGTAACAAAAAATAAATAAATTAATTAATTAATTATAGATTTATGAATTAAGTTGATTTTGGGTATTGCAAGAAATGACCACAAATTTAAAGCAATACTTTCTATAGTTTTTTTCTAATGAAGTAATTAAATACCAGTCAAAACTGAGAGAAAATAAATTACCTAAAATAAACTCAAAGGAATTAATGACAACCAAAATTACCTCAATGTATGAATTGATGTCAATAAAATTATTTAATACAAAATAATAACTATCAGTGACAATTATAATACTTCGGTAATTATCGATGAATAAAGCATTCAAACAAATTATCGATGCTTTCACTTTCTTTTTCTTTTTTTTTAAACTCATGTTATAAATTATCGATGCTTTCATTTTTTTTTTTTTTTGAAATAAATTGTCGATGCTTTTATTTTTTTTTTTTAAATTCATGAGAAAGGGAACAAATTATTTATGTCTGAAAATTAATTAAAAGAGAAAGAAGAAAAAAGTGACCTTTTTATCATACCATATGAATTCAGAATCACTGAACAGCACCGCCCAACATTCTTTCCATTTTTTACCCAAAAAACTCGATTTATAGCGTAAAATTTCACCTTCTTTAAGTTTACGTTGAAAATCGCCCATATCTGAATCAAAAAAAAGAAAGAATGAAAAACGTTAAATTTTTTAGTTGAAAAAAAGAGAACGAAAAGAAAAAAAGATAAGAATAGTAGCATGTATATAAATATTGGGAAATGATAAGGAATGATAATATCAATAAAATTATAACATTAATTTCTAAATACATTTCAATCCAATAAAAATTAAAATGCAATTATTTCATGTTAAAAAATTATGCAAAAAAAGAAAGACTTCATATTTTAAAATTGTTTTTAACAAACAAAAAAAAAAAAGACCAGAGGAATGATTTGATGATAATAAGAAATGGTTAGTGATAAAGATGTTTTGGAAGTGATAGTGATAACGATAAAATTCCATATTGAAATTTCTTTGTTTATTTTTTTATCACCACTAATTATATACGACTTATTATCATTCCTATCATCCTTTCAAGTGGGAAAATGTTAGTCCTAGGATTGCCGGAAAAACGGAAAATCAAATTTATGCTTGATCCTTCCCGGTCAAATATAAATTTGATCTTTTTGGTTTCAGCAAAAAAGCTAACAATAAAGATAAACATATATAAAATAAATAATGCTATGTCAACGGTAGTTGCCAATCGATCAGCTGTGTTGTTTTCGAGAAATGCTCATTGCTTTTCCAGTCCCTATCACCCACATATCCGGTTGCTTAGGAAAGGAGAGGCAAGAAGTGACTGTAACCAATCGATATTTAACTCTTTCACATAGACGTAATACCTAACGCTGTTATTACGTGAATGCAATGGAAAGAGGGAAAGAGAGAGAGAGAGAGAGAGAGAGAGAGGGAGAGGGAGAGAGAGAGAGAGACGTATTAATTAATGTTATGTTAATAATTTTTCCTATATAAATAAATATTACAGATATAAGTAAATGAGCAATTCGAACCATTAAATGAATTTTCAACAATAATCAATAACCGGATTTACATATAAAAACATTTCCCGGATGCAATAGAAAGAGAGAGAGAGAGACGTATTAATTAATGATATGTTAATAATTTTTCCTATACAAATAAATATCACTGATAAGGAAATGAGCAATTCGAACCACTGAATGAATTCTCAACAATAATCAATAACCGGATTTACATATAAAAAGATTTACTGAATGCAATGGAAAGAGACAGAGAAAGAGAGAGAGAGAGAGAGAGAGAGAAGTATTACGTGATGATATGCTAATAATGCTTCTTATGCAAATAAATTTACTGATAAGGAAATGGGCAATTCGAACCAATGAATGAATAATTTTCAGCAATAAATAGGAAAGATAATCATGTAAATGGAAGATAATCATGTAAATGGAAGATAGTCATGTAAATGGAAGATAATGTAATAGCATGAATAAAAGAAATGACAACAAAATTATTGGTTTAGGATTAGTTAGAATTGTCAGAATAGCATAAAATGAGAAATGAATGAGCCGATCGATGAATGTGAACGAAAAACTGAATGTTTTCCTTTCACACTAACCGTTTTCCTCTTTTCGTTTTCACTTTTATTTTCTCCCATACTTTAAGATTTCATCAGAATTCAACGAAAATTCGTCATTTTATTTTGCTTGATAAATGACGATTACTCATCATTTGCAATGAATTTGTTGTTGTTTCATCATATCACACCAATCGATATCAGTCATTTCATAATGTTTTATCAAATTAGCAATAAGCGGATTATGTGCATATTATTAAAATGCATGCTATTATATGCATGTTATATGATGTCATATACATATTGTTAAAATTATATGCATATTATTAAAATGCATATTGTAATAAACTTATTATCGAAGTGCATTTTACTGATGCATTATCATATTAAATGTTATCATGTGCAATCATCATATGTTATATCATATGCATTGAATTATCGTATCTTATCAATATGTGCATTTTATCGAAGTGTGTTATGAATATGTTTGGATTGGGTTGGTTTGAGATTGGTTTGATTTGAATTGATTGGGTCTAGCTTGAATTGATTGACTGCTTTGGGTCGATCTGGATTGTTTGGATTGATCTGGATTTGATTCGTGGCACCAGAAGACTGTGTTGTGTCTATTTGGGCTCGTATTGGTTCAGATCGATTGAAGTTCCCGAATATATTGGGAATTGCTTGGTTTGGGTTTGATTGCTCGACTCGAATCAGGTTCGAGTGTCGGTACTAAAGATGTTGCAACTGATGTAGGAATTGGTTCGAAACCCAATTCCTAAATCAGTTGCAACTTTTGCTTGTTGAAACGAGTGATTGATAACAACGAAAAGACTGAAAGAAAATCCATTCCTCTTCCCGAGAAATTTTATTAATTTGATTAAATGACATTTAAATATTACTAATATTTACATCATTAATTCTAAAGATTGCTCGTCATTTGAAATGCATAATAATTTGAAACAAATTTTGACAATTCTGCGAATTTTCCATGTGACATTTTAATATCATCCATTTGAGAATCTGTCTTTGATGAAATTAGTCCATTAAAATTATTCATTTCCTTATCATGATGAATCGGATTCAATGCCATTGTTGAAAGTGAAGTAATAGAAGGCCATGTATTTCATGAAATTTACATTTCAGAATCCAATATTAATCAATTTCAAACATAGAGAACAGATTCCTACGTGTCTTTTACCTATTTTACGATGCAGAGTTACACGATATGTTTTCTATTTTTATTCAGCAATTCTTCACTTCAATTGTAATAATTTTTGTGTCGCATTAAGACAAATTTAAACAAAAATATTTTTGAATTAAATTCAGATAGAGAAATGGCTATAAACTGGTAAAATTGGTAAGATGTAGTTAATGAGCGACTAATTTCCTTTAAAACAGTACAATTAGAGGAAAAAATGTATGTTTTGCATTATAATGAATTATTAATGAGAGTAATTTTGATTAATTATTTACCCAAAAATTAAAAATGATTTGATCATTTCTAACTTTTCAAGTAAACTAGCATCAGAGTAATTTTTTTAATGGCTTTTTTATGCAAAAAAAAAAAAATTTTTACACATTCATTTTAAACTGATTAATATAATTGCTACAATGATTGTAGCAACACTGATGAATTGTGGGATATGAAAATTGTCTGTATTGAAGGAAGATCCAATGCTTTTCCTAACAAATTTTATTATCTTGATAAATTGATACTTGAATATAATTGATATTTGCGTTATTAATTCTAAAAATAGAAAAAAATTGTAATTCAGTAATAATTTGATCATTTCAAATGCATAACTTCTGGTGCTAATTACTGAAAATATATCTAAAGTTTCAGTATTGTTAAATTTCCACGCCACATGCTCAGTTTATTTTTACAACAACAATTAACAAATGATATGCTAGCAATGTTGGCGCTATTTATGTAAAATGTAATGAAATTCAATTTTGATGAGAAATGCAAAACCGATACAAATATTTAACATTTCATCACATTCAGAAATGCAATCTTTTTCCACCTTCCCCAATCTTCATTTCTTTATATTTTCTCTATCAGAAATTCTGCTTATTAATGATCAATTAATCCACGAGAATAAATGAATCGTCTTTCGTATCAATTATACATCTAAGAAAAAAAAAAAGGAATCAATCATTAATTGTAATTATTGAAATATTTGAAAACAATGATAACAACAACTGCTAATAACAGCGGCAACAATAATGAACTTTTAGTAATAAATAAAAATAAAATTTAATAAGTTTTTGTGTGGTATTAATCTAAAATAGAATATTTATTGATAATGGAATATCAAAAGATATATGTAATAAATTCAGATTCAAATAATATTCATTTTTTCAAATGATATTCAAAAATTCAAATAATATCAAATAATATTTATTGTATTATTATTGTTATTATTATTTGATCGATGGTCGAATATCTTTAAAGGTCACCGTTTTTGCACTCCTCAATATTTTTTGCAATGCTTCTCGACGATCAGCAACATATCGATGTGTTAAGACAAGAAGATATAAATTTGTCCTGTAATGTGAAATTAATTTTCTTTTTCTTTTTTTTTTTTTGATGTTACAATATGATAATATGAATTAGTTCGATTATAATGTTCGATTATAATGTAATATTGAAAAGTTGGAAAGCTTAAGAAAAATTGCTGTAAATGATCGGATTATACAATAATTGCAGTAGAAAAAAATACTTTATGAAATAAGTATTTTTTTATTTTGAAATTTTGTTTTTTTTTCATTTTGAGATTTTTAATAATTAATAATATCTTCCATTTTTCTCAATTTTTACCATCTCGAAATTCAAATTTCAAAATGACTAACAATGTAAGGATGCAAAAGAAAGAAGCAATAAGCGGTACAATCCAAGTAACTGTTGATCCGATGAAATTCATTGTTATAATATAAAGTAAACTAAATATATAAAATCCCACCGATATGATAAGCATTACAAGTTGTGGATATAGCAATTCTGATCGAATAAACTGAAACATATACGAATAGATATAGATAATGAAATTAATACAACGCTTTCAATATTATTATTATTATTAAGTTATTCGATTTTAACTTCAAATCGGATCTTAATACTTGATGAGAGATTCTGATAATATCATTGGATCGGTTAAGCTAACCGATTCTACGCTAATCTATCACTGCATCAAATATTTGAAAAAATATTTCAAATTAAAAAAAATACATTGTAAAATTCATGCTTAAATTATATATGAACTCAATGAATACATCTGTTATCATGCTTGTCAAAGAGGTGTATAACATTTTCAGATAACTTAGAAAGTGATTTTGAATTTATTTTCGAAAAAAAAAAACCTATATCTATATATGGAAATTTTCAAATAACTTAGAAAGTAATTTATAATGTATTTTTAATCAATCATTCAAATTAATTCCATGCTATATATATTGACAACATTAATTGCATATCTGATAAAGTGATATAAGTGAAGAGAATAAGTTTACTTTTGTAGCTAAAATGCTGGTAATAATAGTAATTATATGAATAATA